GTGGTGTGTTATCAGGGCCTTCGGCTGTCTCTGCCGAGAGATGGCGTGACAACACTAGCAGCAGCAGCAGCAGCAGCAGCAGCAGTGACCGCAGCAGCAGCAACAGCAGCAGCAGAAACAGAAGCAGCAGCGGAGTTGAACAGGCAGCAGCAAACAACATTCAGACAGGAGATACGGCCAGTTCCTTCACTGCTGCTGCTGCTGCTGCTGCTGCTGATCAGCAGCAGCAGCAGGAAGAGCTGCTGCAGCAGGAGGCGGATGCTGCGCCCTTGGCTCAGCAGCAGCAGCAACTGAAGCAGCAGCAGCAGCAGCAGCAGCTGAGACAGCAGCTGCTGCACGACCAGCAGCAGCTGCTGCTGCATCCAGGAGACCCTGCTGCTGCTCCCGCCTCCTCAACTACCGACAGCAGCGGCACCACTTCTGCAGCAGCAGCAGCAGCAGCAGAAGCAGCAGCAGCAGCAGCAGCAGCAGCAGCAGCAGGTGTTTGCCCAGGTGCAGCACAACGCGGGGATGCAGCAAGCGCATCAACAACCACCAGATCCTCCGTGACGCAGCAGGAGCACGAGCTCGAGCAGCAGCAGCAGCAGCAGCAGCTGCAGCAGCAGCAGCAGCAGCAGCAGGAGGATGCAGATTTGTGGGTGAAAGGGCAGCAGCAAGCGCAGCTGGCGCTGCAGCAGCTGCAGAATGTGCAGCAGCAGCTGCATGCGATGGGGGAGCAGCAAACTGTCCTCGCGAGGAAAGCTCTAGCGAAGCACTCAACGGAGAGCTCAGAGCTGCTGCAGCAGCAGCAGCAGCAGCAGCAGCAGCAGCAGCAGCAGCAGCAGGTTCAGGGTGAATTAGGAGGCACAGTACAGCAGCAGCAACACAGAAGAGACAGCAGCAAAAGCAGCTGCTCCACCGAGTCGCCTCTGCAGGATTCTGTTTCACCGCAGCAACAGCAGCTGCTGCAGCAGCAACAGCAACAGCAGCAGCAGCAGCAGCAGCAGCAGCAGCAGCAGCGGCAGTCTTCATGGTGGCCTGCAGGCCCTTGGAATGAAACACTCTCCTCCCCGATGGGCTTCGCGAGAACAGATTTATCTTCTTGGCCTTTCTCTCAGCCGCAGCAGCAGCAGCAGCAGCAGCAGCAACAGCAGCAGCAGCAGCAGCAGCAGCAGCAGCGGCAGCATAGCAGCAGCATCCCCGATTTTGGTAGTCGGGGCTGGTTGCTGGGTTCTGGTGAGCAGCTACTGCAGCAACTGCAGCAGCTGCAGCAGCAGCATCAGCAACAAACAGATATAATAACAAGCAGCAGCAGCAGCAGCAGCAGCAGCAGCAGCACGAGCGGGAGAAGCAACAGCATGCAAGCTCTCACAACCAAAGACAGCTTCTCTGCTGCTCTTGCTTCTATTGGGTCTTTTGTTGAGAGTTTAGGGTGGAACCTAACACCAGCAGCAGCAGCAGCAGCAGCAGCAGCAGGAGCAGCAACGCCTCCTGCTGCTGCAGCAACACGTGCTGCAAGCACAGATACTGCGGGCCTCGCTGCTGCTGCTGACCACCAGCAGCAGCAGCAGCAGCAGCAGCAGCAGCAGCAGCAGCTAGCTCATGAGGCAGAATCTCCTGCTGCAGGGGCAGCAGCAGATCCTAAGCTGTAAAGAAATAGCATTTGCTGCAGCACAGCAGCAGCAGCAGTATAGTAGCAACAGTACCACAGTAGCA